TATATAGTACATTGAGTACAGTTCTATACCAGTACATAATCAACTATATAGTACATTGAGTACAGTTCTATACCAGTACATAATCAACTATATAGTACTTTGAGTACAGTTCTATACCAGTACATAATCAACTATACGGTACATTAAGTACTTGTTCTATACCAGTACATAATTAACGATATAGTACTTTGAGTGCAGTTCTATACCAGTACATAATCAACTATACAGTACATTGAGTACAGTTCTATACCAGTACATAATCAACGATATAGTACATTGAGTGCAGTTCTATACAAGTACATAATCAACTATAAAGTACATTAAGTACAGTTCTATACCAGTGCATAATCAACTATTCAGTACATTAAGTACAGTTCTATTCCAGTACATAATAAACTATACAATACATTGAGTAAAATTCTTTACTAGTACATAATCAACTATATAGTACATTGAGTACAGTTCTATACCAGTACATAATCAACTATATAGTACATTATGTACAGTTCTATACCAGTACATAATCAACTATATAGTACATTGAGTACAGTTCTATACCAGTACATAATCAACTATATAGTACATTGAGTACAGTTCTATACCAGTACATAATCAACTAAATAGTACTTTGAGTACAGTTCTATACCAGTACATAATCAACTATACAGTACATTGAGTACAGTTCTATACCAGTACATAATCAACGATATAGTACATTGAGTACAGTTCTTTACCAGTACATAATTAACTATAAAGTACATTGAGTACAGTTCTATACCAGTACATTTTCTCTTCGTATGCAGTATAAAACAATTTTAAGTTCGCGGATGTTAAAATATTATCTTTAAGGTTTTTTAAATTCTATAAAAATCAAAATTTGATTGAGGCAAATTTTTTGAAATTTTGTTCATCCATAAAACCTTCCCTGGTTTCACAGAAAAGGGCCTTTTTGACCTTTACAGGAAACAAACAAACACCATGATAAACAAGAAAAGTATCCATACTTTGCTTGTCTGGACCTTTGTGGGACCTAACAAGAGTTATGGATGATAAAAATTTCTATAATTTGCCTCCTTCAAGATTCAATTTTCAAAAATGTTGAAAATCCACGAAAAAATATTTCAAAATCCACAATTTTTTTTGTTATTGTGAAAATGTTCACAATTTAAGTAGAATACGGATGGAGGCGCTCTGAAAGCCTAGAATATACAGATTTAGCTTTTTTTAATTTTCACGTCTGAATTCAGATTTCATAAATTGTTCAATAAGGTATTCGGTTGTCAGGACTCAGGACTATACTGAGAATCAGAGAATTAAGCAGGAGAAAGATTTACAAGTTTGAATTGAAATAAAATAGAAAAAGAGAAACAAGTGACTTTAATGCAACCATGCAAAAAGATGTGTCGAACTTCACCATTATAAAAATACACAATACCCCATCAATTACAAATAAGCCAAAATTTGTACAAGTATAAACAAAACTATAAAGTGTCAAAAAAAATCATAGATTTTTTTTACAGAAATTATAACTATCATGAGAATATCTTTCATATTGGATATTCACTGAGCACTCCATGGTCAAGAAATATTCAAAAATCTACGAAAAGTAAAAGATAATCTGCTTAACATTAATAACACTTGACTCATTTGTTGTCCTAACTGTTTTGGCTATTATACGAGTATAATGTGCGTACAACAGTATAATCCTTTCAATGATTGGTTAATCTAATAACGCTTATGAGACCCTTTAAAGGAACTAACTATCGTTGTAATTAAAGAAGAAGGACATGCCTGATTCACAATTTTATCCTTTAAAATTTCTCTGATCAATAATAAGTAAGATATCGTCGTTTTTGAGCGCTTAAAAAGTTTTCACTTTTGACAATTTCCCTCGTTGTTTCTAAAGAGAAAAATTGCGAAAGTTAATTTGATAGAGAAACCACAAATGAAAATTATAAAATTTTAAAATAGAAAATTATTGATATCTCCTGCATTCTTGGCCATTCAAAGCTTTTAATGGCACCGTTGTGAATCGGACATACCGCTCTATAAATGCAGACTTACTTAAAAATACGCCTACAGCCCTTTTAAAGGGACTGTAAGGGAAAAATGAAAGGGCGTATATGCTGAAAGCTTATCACTTTAGCTCTTGATCGCGACCCATGAAAATTATATCTCATTTTCTCGAGAAATTGATTTAAAACCGTGTCAAAATTACACGAAAATTCAGATATAATCAATTTTTAGAAATAGTAGGTTTAAACAGATCACATTCAGCAAATATGCAAACAATCTGAATTTTTTTTTTAATATAATTGATAATATATAATTTATAGGTCCGTATTACAAATGCAGACTTACTTAAAAATACGTGTACAGTCCCTTTGGGAAGAGTTCAATAGGTTAGAATTTCAATTTAGCTTCTGGAATATGATTTATCGACACGACCGATATAAATTCCTTTAAAATGAGCACCATAAGTTTAACAGGAGGAGGGGAAAATGCTCTATTAAATACTGATGGGGAAATAAATCAAACTGTGAACACTTTCTCTCCCCCCGGGGTGGTTTGTGGCCCTTCCCTGTGTCCGGGCCTTTCACAGATTTTGTAGATTTTTGAATTGAATTATCCAAACTGGAATCCATTCGATGACAATATTTTAGGTATTACGTTATTTATAGTTTTGGGTTGTATAAAGGCCTTTGACTTCATGAGAATTTATAGCAATGTATCTAAACTAGAATTTATAAAATGTATCCACCTAGATAATAACATATGTATCCACCTAGATAATAACATGTCATGTGTATCCACCTACATAATTACATGTGTATCCACCTACATAACTACATGTGAATCCACCTAGACAATTACATGTGTATCCACCTAGATAATTACATGTGGATCCACCTAGACAATTACATGTGTATCCACTTAGACAATTTTATGTGTATCCAGACGTGTATCCGATTACAACAACTCAATTTCAATAACAATTTTGTGTATTTGCAGTATGAATATAATATTTTTTGTTTTTTGTTTTTTTCCCCGATGAATATTAACTTTTGTTTTTTGTTTAGGTTGGGCTCCATTAAAAGCTTTTAAATATTTGTTTGTTTTACATTATCCTGCATTTTCTTTTTTACTTAAACCTGGTTCTTTTGTTGGAAATTACTTTTACTAAACTTCTTTAAGGTTTGATATAAAGACATTTATTTCTACCAGAAAGTAAACTGTTTTTGCTTTTATAAATTACTCTTTTAGTTTTCAGTCACTTATATTAAACTAAACAAAAACTTAAATTTCATCAAGTTTCATTTGATTTTTCGAAAGAACTTTTTCAAGCTATTCACACTACATGCAAACTTACATTTTTAAATAATAATAAAAAGGGGGGTTTAAGCAATCCTTGGGGGTCTCCAGTTTTATTGACTTTCAGAGGCTTCAAAATTAAGTTTTAAATAAATTCTATCATTTAAAATAATGATCTCTAAAACTTTTGGGTCTCTAAAATATATGTCATTAACAATTATACATTTTAGTTTCATTATGGTAAACAAACGTTATCGAATTTTTGTATTTTTGTTTCTATGTGAATTTCGAATTTCTTGTTGTATTTGAAACTATTTAAAGATTACCTAATGTATTGGTACATTCATGTTCACAACCGTGATCCGGGGATTGACATTCATCATACTCTTTCATAAAACTTGCTGAAAATATTATGGCTTATTTTTTGTCTCAACCCTATAGACCTCCTTTAAAACCGGTTTGTGAGAAATCCCTGGAATTCTGTTTGTTACAAATAAAAGTTTTCATAAATATGTACAACTGCGCTGTAGCGTACAAAAGATAGGGTTGGGGCATTAATGAAAATGACGCAGCCTTTTAACTCCTCTCCCCCCAAAAGGAATAGTTATAGTTTTTAAAAAGCAATAAAACTTACAAATTGATGATTTTTCAGCCCTACATACAAAACAATAAACCAAATGTCTAAAATTATATTTTTACAAAAAATATTTTTTTTTTTTTTTTTAACTTTCTCAAAGCAAATTAGCTCAAATATGGTGATTTCTGAAAGTTGTTCTATTTATATATTTTAAAATCTGCTTGAATGCATATTTTTTAGCAATTTGTTAGTTATTGTGGATTGAATAAAATGATAATGATCCTGCTGAAAAAAAAACGATTTTTTTGTCGTCAGCGAAGTAATCCAAAGATTTTAAGTTCTCTTGCAAAAATTGATTTGAATTTTGCCAATTACTTATTACTTACTAAAGCTAAAAAAGTACTAGTGAGTTACTGGGGTAACACCAAAGGCCAAGGTGATGCGACCCAATCTTGAAACTACTAACCTGAAAACCCTGCCTTCTGAACCGAACCGTCAGATACAAATTTTATCCATAAACTATATAAATATATATATATTCAACACTGCTTTGTAATTCTCGTACAACAAGAGGTAGGATTTTATGAATAGGGAGATGGGTTTAAACTACTTGGTTTATTCAATGATTTAACAAAGAAATAAACAAGTTTACAGTTGCAGGGAATAAATATTAGAAAACAGACAGTATAAATTTGGTTCAGGCGTCTCTCATCTCTGTACTTTTCCACTTAATCTACTTAGTAAATGCACCAGAACGGTGGTAGTACATATTAATATCTACATATTTATAAAATCTGACCTCAATTTCTACAATTAGTGCATCTTGTCTTATATCAGAATATTTTCAGTCTAAATTAAAGTCCGTCAAAAATAGCGTTAGAGGCTTTATGTGTTTAATATTCAAAATACTTTAGAATAAGAAGCAGTAAAAAATATGCAAATAATGGATGAAAATGGGTTCTAAAGTTAAAACTCACTAAACTTTTAACTAGGTTTAGTTAACCGTGAGTTAACAGTAAATATCCAAAATCGGATATTCTCAGCTGTGTCTATTAAGATTGCATGAATATCCACAATTACATATAATTTGATATCCAAATATGGATATTCTACAGTAGACATTTACAAATTGATATTCCCAACTGTTTCAAGTATGTTTATCTTCTATTTGACATTTGAAAATTATGACATTAAATTCAAATATCTAAAAATAAGTTTTTTAATCGGTGATAGACTTTGCGGTCAAATACTCGTTCAGTTTTCACTTATGTCAAAATGCAAGAAAAACTTTTCAATGTTTGTATACAAATATTAAAGCAATCTAGATATTCCTAAAATAGGCAAAATGTCTCAGTAAACCAATATAATAAAATGATTAAGCTTAACAAAATAGCTCTTTGATAAATAAACAAACGATTGTTGGATATCCTTTAGTTGATATCCCTGATAAATATACAGATACAAACGATTGTTGGATATTCCTGTTTGACGATGATTTGATATCCTTGGGCATCTTGTATCCACAATAGGTTCCTATGAGAGGGGAGTCCTGTGTATCCCCATCTCTTATTTCTAAATATAAAAGGAATATAAAATATAAACCGCCTCTCCTAAAGTGAAAATATATAAATATAAATATAAATAAATATAAATATAAAATTTGTTCACAACTATGATGTTGAAAAAGTGAAGAAGTTTTAACGTTCTAATGTAACCCATTTTTAAGTTATTCAGAAGGAACCACGGGGGCCCCAACCCCCCCGGCCCCCCATCGTGATAGGGTTATGAAGGGACTGATTTGAACATAATCTAAAGTGAACCCTTAATTTAAAGAGGTTTTATAGCTTAAAAATTGTTTATTCCTGAGTATTTCTTTCATTGTTTCTGAAGCAGATATCTACAAGTCACTTTATATAAAAACTACAATTGAAAAAAAATCAATTTTCAAAGAGAAAATCACAAAAATTTCTTCAGAGTGAATCGGACATACACCTCGCTCGGATGAAGGATACTTTAGATTACGTTTACAGTATTTTATCTCCCCCCCCCGCAAAAAAAATTCAATCTATAATTAAGCACAAAATAAATTATAACCAAATACTGATAAAGAAAATATATGATAAGTCAAAACAAAAAACCTATAGATAAATAGGCAGGCTGAAAATATCATAAATTAAATATACATCATAAAATTCAAAAATATCAACAATGACTTATTTAAGATTTTAAAAAGACAGAAAAAAATGAATGTTCCCTTTAAACACAGAAACCTTACTAAAAATTGTGAGTATTTCCTTAAATGCATTTTCCTGGTTATAAATGAGCTATAAAATATTCATAAAAACAGATTGAGGCAAGGTTATAATGCAAGGAAAGTTAATTGCAGTTGCGTACACTCTGCGTACATATTGAAACCAGTTCTCTCTGGGAGGAATTTGTAAACTAGAATAGATGCATCAGTGTTCAGTATCCGAGGAGGTTAAAAGCATTAAATTTTGATCATTTTAATAATTCACATAATAGTTTCATATGACCAGAATATTTCATTGATTTTTTATGTGAAAGATGGATCCCATGTCAGGCTTTGACATCCGTCTTGTGTTTACATTACCACTCAGCGACAGTACACTGCAGTACAAAAGATGCGTAAACCTCTGAAATAACTTTCCTTGCATTATAACCTTGGATTGAGGGATGATTTTATAAACAGAATTAGGAGAATATACACGGTAGGATGAGAAAGGGACTGTAAGCGTTATTTCAAGTGACCCTTCATACAAAGATAGCAATGCTAGATTTACAACGGTATCCTTGAAGTATTATCAAGTATTAGATATCAATGTTTTTGCTTCTTAAGCCTGTGTATTTTCATTTGCGGTTTCTCTGCCAAAAATAATTGCGCATGTTTTTTCGAGTCAGAAAAACGACGGTATCTTCCACATTTTGATCAGATTAATGCTTCCACCGTAAATAGGGCATTGCCATCTTTGCTGGAGGGTCACTTGCAATTTCGCGTACAGTCCCTTTCAACTGAATATATTACCTAAGTAATCATAAACACAGTTATCGTGGTTTTCTATCTCAAAAGACTGGAATTTTAAAGCAACCTGAAAGTCCTCAGCAACCCTGAACAACAATTGGTTAGTTGGGTTAATTGATAGTTATAATTTTTGGTTGGTTGATTTTTTTGTTACCTGATTTTCCAGATACACTCCTTACTGGGTTGATAATCTTCAGGGAAGTTTGGAGATTCAAGTTGACCCGTCTCTGTATCCAGCTCACCTTAACAACAGAGGTCAAACTATCTATCTATCTCGAGGTCGGATCTAATTAATGTTTTTAATTAAGAAATAGTTGAACATTACGGATTTCCTAAAAAACAGGGATTAGGGCTTTACAGCTCTTTAAATCGTTGAAAAGACTTAAATTATGCTCAGGAGTAAAGTTTTTAATTTTAGCATGGGTCATTTAATGAAGATTTTTGTCGTTTGATCCTTCCATTCGGTGAAAACTATGTCGAATTTCTCCTTTAACTTCTGCTGACCAATATTCTTTTAGATTTTTCTTTTGGATTTTCTGCAAAGGCAAAAGAAATTTACAAAAAATTGTAATTCCGGCGGTTGAAACAAAATAGTATTATAAAATATTGTTTTTTTCTTCTCATATATATATCATTTACTAAATCCGACCTTCACAGCAAATTAGAAGCTTATAGATTTTAATGAACTATGTTGAGCTATTGATAATGATCAATGATCATTTTGGGAAAAACGCTCAACTGAGGACTGAGGTCGACATGGGATAGGAATATCTTTCACGTCTAAACTCAATGTTAAATGTTGAAAAATTCAATTTGAAGAAGGGGAGTGATTAGTCCTTTAAGCAGAAGATTTCCTTGTTATTCAAGCTTTAAAATTGATGTTTACTTCTGACAATTTCCTCCATTGTTTCCGGTGCAGAAATCTGCAAGACATTTACATAGAAAATTCATGATTACAAAAAATTAGGCTTCATAAAGGAAACCATGCATATCTCGTTAAATCCTAGTCAGACAAACCTTTTACCAATGTCGTTTTTTTAATCTTTAATAAGAGGCTAACTCTAAATAACATCAAAAGCCTCTTTCAGAAAAAAACTAACCTCCGCAAACTGCCTCGTATTGCGCCATAAACCCCAGATGATCCGGGCTATTCTCCCGGGTCCTGTAGGTTAGCATTAGCCGGGATCCGGTTGATATTATAGGTTCGCTCAGGGTAGTCCCGCATACACGAGCCAACAGTGGAGATTTGTACCAGTATCCATCCCGTACCTGTACAGTGCACAGTCTACAGGGTTATCAACAAAAGCCAAGAATTCAGAGACGACTTACGGAATTTTTACGATCTTTAATCTTACATTCTAGGTTCTTAGCAGCAGATCATTATATTTAATGATAATAGCTGCTTGGCACATTTCAAACTGTTACTTCTGATTCTGCTTGATCTAATAGTCAAAATATGAAGGTACTAATGCAAGGAAAGTTATTTCAGAGGTTTACGCATTTTTTGTACTGCAGTGTACTGTCTTTGGGTGGAAAAGTAAACACAAGGCGGATGTCACAGCCTGACATGATATATATCCATTTAAAATTCGGTGATGGTGATGGACCAAACCTCTGTAGAGTAAAATATCCATTTTCACAAATATAAACTATGAAATATCCTTGTCATAGATACATATTTTGGGAATTTTTAAAATCATCAAAATTTAATGCTTTTATTCTCCTCGGATACTAGATGAACACTGATGCAGTGATGCATCTACTCTTGTTTACAAATTCTGCCCAGAGAGAACTGGTTTCAATATATACGCAGAGTATACGCGACCGCAATTAACTTTCCTTGCATTATAATCTTGAAATATGAAGTATCTAAAGTTTACATAAGGTGGCAAACAGGGGCGGACTAAACCATTATCTCAGGGAGGGGGAGAGGCATAATTGCGTGTGTTGGCGCGCAAAAAAATTGAACAAAAAGCAGTAAATTTCTATTTCATATTTTTACAAACTACAGTTCTCACTCCTTCTAAACTCCAGTTCTCCCACTTTCTGTTTGTAATTTTACATCCATATTAGTATGAGTAACAAGATGATTAGAAAACAATTTTAACGGGTATTTCAGGTCATTTATTCAATTATGTTTTCATGGTGACTTTAATCCCTTGATGTTTTATTTCCCATTATAAATTTCCCTCCAGATCTCCTACTTTCTATCTGTAAAATCTGGATTTTCTACTTTCTATTTGTGAACTCCAGATCTCCTACTTTCTATCTGTAAAATCTGGATCTTCTACTTTCTATCTGTAAACTCCAGATCTCCTACTTTCTATCTGTAAAATCTATATCTCCTACTTTCTATTTGTAAACTCCAGATCTCCTACTTTCTATCTGTAAACTCCAGATCTCCTACTTTCTATCTGTAAAACCTAGTTCTCTCCTACTTTCTGTCTGTAAACTCCAGTTCCTTACTTTCTATCTGAAACTTTAGTTCTCCTACTTTCTATCTGTAAACTCAAGTTCTCCGACTTTCTATCTGTAAACTCAAGTTCTCCTACTTTCTATCTGTAAACTTTCGTTTCGTTTTGTTCCGTTTTCTTCCATTTTGTTCCATTTCGTTCCGTTTCGTTCCGTTTTGTTCCGTTCATTCCCAAGAAAGAACGACGCACAGCCCTATCTGTTAGGAGTGAAACGTTTGTCACATCTTAAAATTAAACTTGATCAGAGTCATTGATATCTCGAACCTTGTTTGGTCATTTTCGAACAAACAATTTTGGCTGAAAATTTTACAGAAGAATCTATTAAATACATATTTAATGAAAATAAAGCTGTAAAAAATGCTTGGTTTTGTTCCTTATTTCAAAAGTTGTGCTGTAAAATTGATTCCAAATAATTGAAAATTCCCCTTTATATGTTTCTAAAAGATGAAGATGTTTAATGCTTCATAAAATGTGTTTAATGTTTCATAAAATCAAATTGTTACATGGATAGAACTGAGCAAAGTTACCTTAACGAAACGGAGATTTTCGAAAATTAACGGAAGAGTCCGTTAACGAACGGCAAAACCCGTTAACTTTAAATCATTAAAAACATGGATTAGCCGTTTATGAAAAAAAATTAAAAACGGTGAATTTCGTTATTTTCTCATTAAAATTGCATGAATTTAAAAAAAATTAAAGATGTTTATGCGTTCTGATGTTTTTAAATGTCGTCTTCTGGTTTATAAACCTTAAACAAAATTTGTTCGCCGTTAACGCTGTTAATACTGTAATATACCGTTAACGGCTGTGCGGCTAACGATTTTTTAATCCATTAACAAAATGTTGTTGGTGCTTCGTGGCGTTAGTGCCGTTAATTTTTTAATAATAGTACCATTAACGGGTAGAGCCGTTGACGATTGTTAAAATTTTCCGTTAACGCCGTTAATAAAATTGAGATTGTTAACTAAAGATAATTTTTAAAAAAACCGGAAAATGCTGTTGACGGAACGAATGTTCCGTTCTTAAAATTAACGACTAACTGAAATTTTTATTTTTTAACGGTTAACGAAACGGCTAGAAAAAGTTTGTACGTTCCCAGCCCTATACATGGATAGAAATATTTCGAACATTATTGATTATTAGGAAAGTGTTATTAAAGATTTCAAATTTCCCAAGGTCGAAAAAATTTAGAATTTTCATTTTTGTTTAAATTAAATCTCAGGAAATATTTTAGAAAAAGCTACACGTATTTTTACTTTTTTATTAGCTAATTGGTAATACTTGTTATCGATAAATCTATATATTATAGGATGTATGCATGAAGAGCAATTATAAGATTCCTATACTCTGTATAAGAAGATCGAGGACTAGATGTCTATTGTAAAGTATAAAGTATAATACATAATATACTCAGCTCAATTGTGTATTCAACACAGTCTTTTGTATTAGCATATTCATTTGCATAATTAGCAGTATTGGTCGAAGATTAGGAGGGGGGGGG